AGGTGTTAGCTCACCTTCCCCTCCATGGCTCTGATGTTATGTCTTGTATTTACTCATCTGGGTACGAATCAGATTCCTCAAGTATAATATAAGCTCCTTGAGGGCAGGGTCTGGCTCATCTCTGCCTTTGTATTCCCAGTGACTGGCCTGGGATCCTCCACCCAAGGCTCTTTCAGTGATGAAACTGCCTCTCTCAAAGCAGAGAGTAATAGCTCTGACAATTCTAGTCTTAGACAGTTAACCACACGTGAATCAGGGTGGTGGATTTAGAGTTGGAGGAACATTTACAGGTAGAAAACTGAGGTCCAGAGAGGGGAAGTGACCTGGTCAAGGGCACACTGAGAATGACGTGGCGGAGCCAGGGATGAAGATAGTCCCTCTCCCCACCTGAGGCCAATGCTCCTCCCTTCATCTCATTGCTTTCTACGTGTGTCCACCAAGGCCCCAGCCAGCTAGCCACTATGTAGCTGGCGCACAGTAAGTACATTTGGTGGATGGAAGAAGGAGAGAAAAAGAAAGAGAGAATGAAATAAAGGGAAAAGGAAAAGTGGAAAGGAAGAAGAGAGAGAAAGAATGGGGGAAAGAAGAGAAGGAGAAAGAAAAAGAAAAAGAAGAGGGGAAAGAAAGAGAGGGAGAGAGAAAGAAATGGAAAAAGAAAGATGAAAGAAGAGAGAAGGAATGGGGAGAAAAAGAGGGAGAAAGAAAGGGAAAAAGAAAGGGGAAAGAATGAAGAGCAAGAAGAAAAGAAAGAAGAGAGAGAAAGAATGGGGAAAGAAGAGCAGGAGAAAGAAAGAGAAAAAACAGGGACGGAAAAAGAAAGATGAAAGAATAAAGAGAAAGAAAGAAAGAATGAGGGAGAAAAAGAAGGAGAAAGAAAGGGAAAAGAATGAAGAGAAAGAACCAGAGAAAGAAAGAGAGAGAGAAAGGGAAAAAGAGAGAGAGAATAGAGGAAAGAATAGGGGAAAAGAAACGAGAAAGAAAGAAAGAAAGAAAGTTGCATTAGGAGAGATGGAGTGTCCACAATGAGGAAAACAATAGTTCCATGGTCCTCTGCCCTAGTCAGACCACAAATAGAATGCTGTCCACATAACCGGGTGCCACAATTCGGGAAGGACATTGATAAAACGGACCAAGTCCAGAGAACAGTGATCAACATGGCAAAAGGACTAGCGGCCATGTCGTAAGATGCAAAGCCTTAACAATTCAGCTCCAGCCTCCCTCTCCAGCTGTATTAAACACGACTGCCCATACCACACTCTGCTTCAAAGTCACTTTGGCCTTCTCGCTATTTATCGCATGGGTCATCCCATCTCCCATCTCCATACCTTTGTCAAGGCTGGTCCCCATGCCTGAAATGCCCTCCCTCCTGTGATCCTTTGTTTCTTTCAAAACTCCCAAGTGCCTTTCTGGATTCTCCTCCTTTCTCCCCACCCTGTTCCCCCTCCTGCTGCCAAACTACCCTGTAATTAGCTTGTATGCATCTTGTAGATTCTGATATATACATATCGCATGTTGACTGGGTACATTATAAACCCATGTTAGCCAGCTTCACTGGAGCAAGGAAATTTCTTTATTTCTCCATCATTGATTCCATAGCTGACTCCCTATAGGAGCTGTTCCAAACCTTCTCTTCCCTTCTCAGCTCTCCCACACACGTCCTTCCCCACCCTTCAGCCTCTTTGGTAAGAAGTACAGGCAGCAAGTAGTGTAAGTGGCCTGGAATCAGAAAGACTTGAGTTCAAATTCAGCCTCAGACACTTACTAGCTGTGTGACCCTGTGCAAGCCATTTAACCTCTGTCTGCCTCGGTTTCTTCAACTGTAAAATGCAACTGATAAAAGCATCCTACTTTACTGACTTGTGGTGAGGACCAAATGAGATGGTAATATTTGTAAAAAGTGCTTAGCACAGTCCTTGGCACATAGTAGATATTATATAAATGCTATTCTCTTTCCTCTTTTCCCAATCTCTATCTCAAAATCTTTGATATCACCTCTTCCTCTCTACTCTTTTACTCCAGTCTTTGGGTATTTGGAGTTTTTTTAAAATTTTTTTTTAAAGTCAATTGGGGTTAAGTGACTTACCCAAGGTCACACAGCTAGTAAGTGTCAAGTGTTTGGTTTGAGACCGGATTTGAACTCAGGTCCTCTTGACTTCAGGGCCGGTGCTCTATCCACTGCTCCACCTAGCTGCCCCTTTACTCTAGTTTTTGACAAAGAGGTGGCCTTCCTTGCTAAGATTAACCTCTCCACATGTGCCCTTGACCCCATCCCCTTCCCTCTTCTCCAGCAGATTCTAACCTTAATTATTTATTCCCTCTCTCTCAATAGTCTTCAACCTCTCAGTCAATTGGTAAACATTTATTAAGCACCTACTATGTGCCAGGAACTGTGCTGCGTGCTGGGAATACAAAAAGAAGCAAAAGACAGTCCCTGCCCTCAAGAAGCTTACAATCTAATGGCAGAGCCAACATGCAAACGAATATATACAAACTAGCTATATACAGGATAAAGAGGAAATCATTAACAGAGGGAAGGCACTGGAATTAAGAAGGGCTGGAGAAGGCTTCCTGGAGAAGGCGGGATTTTAGTTGGGACTGAAAGGAAGCCAGGGAGGTCAGTAGGGAGAGCTACTGTCTATCTCCTGGTCCCTTTCCTACTACTTTCACACATACACATCTCCCATCCTTTAAATTAAAAAAAAAAAAAAAAGCCTTTATGGGACCCTGCCATCCCCTCAAGTTGTTCCTTTTTCTCAGCCAAATTCCTAGGGGGGAAAACCTGTCTACACTTGCCGCTTCCCCATCCTTTCTTTTCACTCTTCCCTTAACCTTTCGCAAACTGAATTCCAACCTCATCCCCCAACTGAAATTGCTCTCCCCAAAGTTGCCAGTGATCCTTTAATGGGTTTTCTCATCCTGGGGTTTCTGCTGCAGTTGACACAATTGACTAATCGCCCTCTCCTTCTGGGTTGTCTGTCCTCTTCTGGGTTTTCAGGACACTGCTCTCTTCTGGTTCTGGTTAACAGCAACAACAGCTAGAATTTGTATAGCTCTTTAAGGTTTGCAAAGTGCTTTACAAAAATTACCTTGTGTGACCCTGTCAACGACCCTGTGAGGTAAGTGCTAATAGTATCCCCATTTTACAGATGAGGAAATTGAGGTGGTTAGGGGTTGACTGGCTTGCTTATGGTCCCACCGCTTGAAAGCGTCAGGGGTGGGATTTGAACCTCAGGTCTTCCTGACTCCAAGTCTCACGCTGTATCCCCTGCTGTCAACCAGCTGTTTCCTGCCTGACCCGGCTCTTTCTCTGGCTCGTTTGCTGGTTCATCATTCATATCATGCCCCCAACTGTTGTGCTCCTCCAGAGTTCTATCCTGAACCTTCTTCTCCTTTCCCTCTCCCTCTCTCCTTTCTCTCCTCCCCTCTCCTCTGCTTTTCTCTTCTCTCTGCTTCTTTCCTTCTCCTTCTCTGTCTCTCTGTCTGTTGCTGTCTTTCTGCCCCCCCCCCCACTTCTCCCTCTCTCTCTCTTCCTCCCTCCCCCCTCTCTCTTTGTCCTCCTTTCTCCCTCTCCCTCCTCCCAATTAGTTCCCATGGGGGTTTAACTATCATCTCTAAGTAGCTGACTCTCACCATCACCAGTCTCCCCTTGAACTGCAGCCTCACATCCCCAGTTACCTATCAGACATCTCCAACTGGCTGTACTATAGGCATTTCAATCTCAGCATGTCCATAACCCAACACCCCCAGCCCTCTCCTGCTTCAAACTTCTCTCCTTCTGTAGAAGGCACCACCATTCTTCCAGTCCCTCGGGTTTATAACCTCAGCCGTCTCCCGGACACTTCACTCTCCCTCAATCCCCATTCTACCTCCACCACATCTCCAGCATCTGAGCCCTTCCCTGCCCTCAGACAGCTGCCACCTTAGTTCAGGCCTCATCACCTCTCTCCTAGGCTCCTCATTGGTCTGACCTCCTCCGTTCTCTCTCCATTCCAGTCCAAACTCCGCGTTGCTGCCAAAGTGATCTTCCTAAAGCAAAAATCTGACTGGGTCCTGCCCCTCCTCTGTGACCTCCTATGGCTCCCTGTTGCCTCTGAGATAAAATACAGACTACTCTGTTTCGCTTTTAAAGCCCTTCACTATCTGGCACCAAACTATCTCTCCAGCCCTGTTGGCCATCACTTTCCCTCACGCACCTGACAGTGCAGTCAGGCGCTCAGTCCTTGGTTCAGCCCTTGGCATTCTGTTTCATCTGTGCCTTTGCACTGACTGTGCCCCCATGCCTGGGATACCTTCCCCTCCTTCCCTCTGCCTCTCAAGACGCAGCTCAGACTTCATCCAGTGAAGCCTTTGCTCATCCCCCAACTTCAAGTGTCCTCCGTCTCAAATCACCTTCTATTCACCTATTTGATATATATACATTACATATATAGTCTATATACACTATACAGACTATATATACATACGTAACACAAATGGTAGGTTGTTATTATTATTATCATCATTATTACCTAGCCCCAGTGGTCTCAGGAGGAAGGGGTGAAAGTTGCAAAGAGCCATATCTAGGCTAAGGAAAACCTTCCCAATTACCTGAGCCACCCAAAAGGAGATTGGGTTGCCCTAGGAAGCAATGGGTTTCTGACTCCTGGAGGTCCTCAAGGAGAGACTGGCTGACCAGCTAATCAAAAATTTATTGGGTATGTTATAAGGGGCAGCTAGGTGGTACAGTGGATAGAGCATTGGGCCTGAATCCAGTCTCAGACACTAACTAGCTGTGTAACCCTGGGCAAGTCACTTCACCCTGTCTACCTCAGTTTCCTCATCTGTGAAACGAGCTGGAGAAGGAAATGGCAAACCGCTCTAGTATCTTTGCCAAGAAAACCCAAATGGGGTCATGAAGAGTTGGACACAATTGAAATGACTGAACAGCAATGTTATAAAGGAAATTCTTGGTCAAGTAGGCCTAGATGGCATTGACCCCTCTTTATCTCTAACCTTCTCAGGTCAGGAAGACTACGACCGTCTTCGTCCACTGTCGTACCAGAACACTCACCTTGTCCTCATTTGCTACGACGTCATGAATCCCACCAGCTATGACAATGTGCTCATTAAGGTGAGGGCTGTGTGAGTTCTGAACCCTGGTCCGCCATCTTGACCCTCTCCAGGTCACTGGGTGGGATTCATGGGAAAAGGTCAGCAGCATGGAAAGTTCCTGCTGGAAAGAAGGTAGCCGGTGGCGTCTGGGATTAAGAAATATGGCTGAAATCTACAAGGTCTGCATGGGCAAGGATTCTTCCTGCGGCCCCTACCTAGAGCCAGGCTGAGCCCAACGCATAGCCACCCTATGATTGCTCAGACATCATGGGAATCACAATTTCCTTCTTTCACCCAGTACTTTCAGGGTTGCAAAGTCTGCAACAACCCTAAGATGTGAGTAGGGCAAGGATCGTCATCCTTATGTTTCAGATGTGGTAACCAGGGTTGAGAGAGATGAACAAATTGGCCAAAGCCATGAAGATACTGAGTGATGGTACCAGGAGCCAGACACCTGGAACACGCCGCTTCACATCTCTCACGTACAGTTGCTCCATCCATAAGATGGGGATAATCACACCTACCTCACATGGTTGGTGTGAGAGTAAAATAATGCATGTAAAATGCTTGTTATTATTATCTGAGAGGGAGGATAGATATAGAGCCTTGGCTTCCAAGCCTTCCTCTAATAGTACTAACTGTGTAACCCTGGCTAAGTCACTTCACCTCTATCAGACTCAGTTTCCTCATCTATAAAATGGGGACAGTAATAGCACCCACCTCATTAGCAACACTGTAAGGCTACAGGTTGCATAGGAGATGGCAATGTGCATTGGTAAAAGGAGTTCCCTCATCTGGGAATATACCAATTTTCATTTCAGTTTCATATGCCAATGAAATTACAGGTCTGATCCTTTTATTATTAATCATTATTATTATTTAGAACTGGATAGGGCCTTAGAGATCATCTTACACATAAGTAAACTGAGGCCTAGAGAGAAATGGCTCAGTTAAGTAGATAATAGAGCTGGGAATCAAATCCACCGACCTTTACCCGCTGTCACAGATTTGGACAGGTATTATGGAAAGAGGACTGGCTCTGGAATCAAAGGGCCTGGGTTCAAATTCCTACTGCCTTGTGACTTTTGGGGCAAGCCCCTTTCCCTCCACAGGTCTCAGTTTCCTCATCTGTAAAATTGGGGAGGGTGGACTAGATAATCTCTAAAGGTCGCTCCCCGCTCTAAATTTGTGCTACTTGGATGACCTTGGACAATTTCCATCCCCTCCTTGGGGTCTCGGGTTCTTCATCTGTAGAATGAGGGGTTGGTCTAACTGACCTCTGAGGTCCCTTCCAGCTTGGGATCTGGGATCCCATGGGATCCACTGTTCTGGGCACTTGCTATGATGTCGTTCACCCCCTTGTGCCCATAGATTTGATGGTATCTATGCTATCTGCTCCATCCCCCTACAGTGGTACCCTGAGGTCACTCACTTCTGCCACGGGACACCTATGGTTCTCATCGGCTGCAAGACTGACTTGAGAAAGGACAAGGAGCAGTTGCGGAAGCTACGAGCTGCTGACCTAGAACCCATCACCTATGCCCAGGTCAGTGGGGGCCGGAGACGTCTCTGCTCCACAGCATATTACAGGTCCCTTCCCAATCACCGTGGGAAGCCATTCTCTAGAGACCTTGCCCTTGCACGACCTGGGCTCCTCTGAAGAATCGTGGCAGGGTCTGCCTCAGTGCGTCGGGGGTGGTTGGAGGAATCCCGTCATCGTTCGCACTTCTAAGTGCCACTGATATTTTAAAATCCTCATCTCTCTCTCTCTTCTCTCTCTCCCCTCTCCTCTCTTTCCTCTCTTCTCCTCTCTCCTTTCCTCATTCTCCTTCCTCTCTCTCCCCCTCGTTCTTTTTCTCTTCTCATTCTCTCTCTCCCCCTCGTTCTCTCTCTTCTCTCCTCTCCTCATTCTCCTTCCTCCCTCTATTTCTCTCTCTTCTCTCTCCTCTCCCCTTTCCTCATTCTCCTTCCTTTCTCCCCGTTTTCTTTTTCTCTTCTCATTCTCTCTCTCCCCCTCGTT